TTTTGATACTGTTAATTCAGTGAGTAGATTCATTTTTCTTAGCTTTGGCAAGCCATGGAAAATTAGCCACTAATTAATTAAATATACTGATAACTTTGTATACCAACAAATACAGATGAACATCAAGCTGCACTGGCAGCTGCTTTGGACAGAGTGCCAGTGGAAAAGCTAACACAAAGCTTCAGCAGCTGTTTCTGGAGCATAGTTAATGACTGTTTTAGTATTCCCAGAGAACCAGGTGCTGCTTCTCCTCTAACTAAATTTAACAACTGAAAGCAACATGAGCAGCCATTTTATGTAATACTCCCAATATAGCCTCTGTTAAATGAGCTTGGTAGAGAGCTATGCTATGACCAGTGCCCCATTCCAAAGTTGTTTCTTACCATTGATAATACCTCTGCATGTTTTAGAGAGGTCGAAGTCACACACAAATTTGTTATATTAGCTTCAACCTTTGTGAGATTTTACTTTCTTGCTGCATGTGGACAATAACTTTCTAAGATCTGGTATCTAATGTACAAGTGTGATTTCTGCTATGTCTGGGAGTTGCTCGAAGGGGCAAATACTGAGGGTAGAGAATAAGCCATAAATGTTATCTAAAATGTGAGGCACCGAAACTAATCTGATCTTTAAATCAAAACAATAAAGTGAAGGTGGACACAAATGGTGGATGAGTTTGCAGCAGAAGGCAGTAAGGCATATTCCACAGGGTGACTAATGCCCTCATGTTAGAGGTGGAGGAGGAGCACCTCTGAATAAAAGAATTTATCTTTTGCACTTTCTTTTTTTTTTTTTGTTATAATTTATTTTTTATTTTTTTTTAAAGACAGATTTTTTATTTTATTTATAATAGGGACACAGTGAGAGAAAGAGAGGCAGAGACACAGGCAGAGGGAGAAGCAGGCTCCATGAGGCGGGAGCCCGACGTGGGATTCGATCCCTGGTCACCAGGATCGCGCCCCGGGCCAAAGGCAGGCGCCAAACCGCTGCACCACCCAGGGATCCCCTCTTTTGCACTTTCTTAAACACGGGTCTAATCTTTATTTAGTATACTTGCCAAGGTGGAACAAACAGGTACTACAGGAGGGAGATTATAGCCAGCCTTGAAATTTTCATTAAGGATGTAAATGTGATTTTTTTTAAAGATTTTATTTATTTATTCATGAGAGACACAGAGAGAGGCAGAGACACACAGGCAGAGGGAGAAGCAGGCTCCTTCAGGGGATCCTGATGTGGGACTCAGTCCCAGGACCTCAGGATAATGACTTGAGCCAAAGGCAGATGCCTAACCACTGAGCCACCCAGGTGCCCCTGTGATCTTATTTTCTTGGGAGTCTTTGGTCACATTAATTATAATACAAAAAGCCACTTAGTGATTTATTCAACGACCAAGTAAATATCCCATTACATCTGTTTTTTAAAGTAGTGCTTCTCAAAAAAAAATAAAAAATAAAGTAATGCTTCTCAAATTGTAGTGAAATACAAGTTTTTTTTCTTTCCTTTTTTAAAATCTGCAATCTATTGTGAACCAAGAATTTTGGAAAATATAATAAATATAAATTGCTTGAGGAGTGCCTGGGTGACCCAGTCAGTTAAGCATCTGCTTTTAGCTCAGGTCTGATCCCAGGATCCTGGGATTGAACTCCCACATCAGGCTCTCTGCTCAGCGGGGAGCCTGCTTCTCCCTTTCCCCCCTGCTCATACTCTCTCTCTCTCTCAAATAATAAAATCTTTATAAACAAACACAAACAAACAAACAAATAAATAAAGCTTGAAAAAGAAAAAAGACCTACAAAACACAAGCTTTAATTTTTTTAGCTTTAGCTTTAACAGACATAAAATTAGATTTTCATAAATATAACCAGAACAAACATAACGTAGGGAAAAAGAAAATATAAATAACTGTTCACGTTGTTCATTAACATGTGCATAAGAATTAATGATATGCAGAATTACTATTACACTCATAATTTTTTGTAAGTCCATAATCATAAACAAATGAAATATGATGGAAATAGCAATTCTCCCTATGGTGTCTATATGCACACTTTGAACATAGTACATAATATTTTTCAGAGTTTCTATGTCAAATGAGCTGTTTAAGTTGTAGAGTAGGAACTTCTCTCTCCTGTGCCACCCAACCCCCATCCATCTTTCACTCTTAAATCTGTCCACAGGCCCCAGAGTGTGTATGTACTCTTTCTTCTACCTTAGTAAGAAATGTTCCACTTAAAGTATCAACAGCCTCTGCCACTTCCAAGAGTCTCACCTCCCTCACAGGGGTTCCTCTCAGGAGTGATTCCTGTCCTAAAGCATTGTCCTTTTTCCCTCCAGAGAATCTGACTTGCAGGTATCTTTAGTTCTGTGATTTTTGCCCATGTTTTAAGCCAGACACATTGTCTCTTTACCTGAATCTTCACTCTGGGATTCAAGTTCGTATCTTTTCTATAGGAAGTAAATTATCTGGTGGTGGAAGCTTGCATTAGGCACAATAGACAGCCTCAGTCTATCTTTTGTCTGCTGATTTCCACCATAAATGTTGGAAGAATTCAATATTTTATTTCCCAGCCTACTTGTAATTAAGGGCAGCCATGTATCATGAATCTGGCTATTAGATACAAGCAGAAATATTTAGGGCTGAGGGTATTTAAAAACATTTGCTTTCTTAATAAAAGGGACATAATCAGCTAGCACAGTCCTTCCCCTTCATTTTTGCTAAACAGTAAAGACCAACCTTGAGTCTCTTATAAAGTATCATTCCCAGGCACCTGGGTGGCTCAGTAGTTGAGCCTTCGGCTCAGGGCATGATCCTGGGGTCCTAGGATCCAGTCCTGCATCGGGCTCCCCATAGGGGAGCCCGCTTCTGCCAGAAAGGAAAAAAATATAACTTTACAATGGAAATATCTGGCCATTACCACCTTCACCAAATGATCAAATTTAGCATCACTAACAGTGAAACGACACGACCTCATGTTGCCCCTGATGTGATAGAGCAAGAGGACACAGCATTGTCTACGTAGTATCCTTACCAAATGTGTCTGCAGGGACACTTGGCTGCTGCACAGTAGGGAACCGACTAAGGGAGTGCTGCGCTTTTGGGGGGCGCCCGGGGCTGGGAATGAATTCTCAGCCGAAACCTGAGCACGCAAACTCGACCAGGAAGGATCCTGGGACGGGCTGAACAGCCCGGGTCCAGGAGGCCAATTAGTTCTTGGTGTAGCCGGGAGTCGTCTGCTCCTGATCCCGCTCTCAGAGCGCGGTGGCTCCTTGTGGAGAGGACTCTGGACTGTCAGCTTTTTCGGCTTTTAACTGCCGTTCCTAGAGGCCTCTGAGCATTTCCCGGTTTGGAGCGAGGGCTGCTGCACACGGGTTAACTTTGAGGGCCCGACCCGCCCACCCTTTCCTCCACGGTGGGCTACGTTTCCCAGAAGCCTCCACGGTCCACTTTTTTTTACTCCTCAGCAGCCTGCTCTCGCTGCTTGGACCTGTCGCTCGCCCAGGTCCTCAGGATGCTCAGGCGAGGCCGGGCTGTCGGTACTGGCCTTCGCCGAAGCCTAGGAACGCGAGGCGACGCTCGGCAGAGGGGCTGGATTTTTCCTGCCCTGGACTACATGTTCCTGGGGGCTCTGCGGCATTTGCCGCTTCCGGCCGAAGTTGGCTGGCGGGTGGTGAGTTGGCGGGAGTTCGGGCGCGAGGGGTCGGGGATTCCGGGCGGCCTGACACACCGGTTTGGGGCGGATTCGACCAGACTGGAGTGTGAGGACCCGGGAGAAGTGCGCGGCGAGGGGCCCCAAGGGCGCGGCCTGAGTCCTACACGTGAGTCGCTGTCGGGCTTGTCCAGGCTGCAGACTCGCGCTTGAAAAGTATAAGATGTTGGGGAGGCTGGGGTCTGTCGAGGCCTCTACTCTTCACTCGCGGGAGGGAGGCGTCAGCCGCGCACCTGGCGTGGGCGCCTGGCGTCAGGCTGGCTCTGTCGGAGGTCAGAGGTGTCGCTGCTGTGTGACCTCCATTGTCCTGCGGCCAGTGCCCGCGGGGCGGCGGTTAGCACAGCACGAGGGGCCCCCTCCCGCCCAGTGCCAGAGCCCAGTGGCCGGCCGCGTCGGAGACGCCTTTGGAGCTAGAACTGGAAAGGCGCCCGCTGTGTACCTTCTTGGTCGACGTTGAGTGGGGTCATTGAGTGGATGGGTTCTGGAGAAATCTCAGACCCCGCCTACCTTTGGAGCCTTTTTTGCCCCCGTTGGATTCAGGATCCCAGCCACAACTGACACAGGGTCTGCCGCTCCCTCTTCAGCTGTGAGTGGCCTTCTCCCCGCGGCTATTTCTGGTGTCCTGGGGTTCTTCAGTGCTTGGGCCTGGAAGCCCTTCCTTCTACTTCCCTGTGCCTTTTATCCTGAGGCCTCAGGGGATCCAGGCCCAGAGCCCATCCAGTTTTAGAGGACAAGATGTGGGATTCTGATACATCCATGTAGGTTGTGTTTTAGAGCCACAAATCTGGGCTGAGTGTAAGATACAGGGTCTGGAAGAACCCAGTTCGGGGGACACCTGGGTAGCTCAGTGGTTGAGCGCCTGCCTTGGGCCCAGGTGTGATCCTGGGGTCCCAGGATCGAGTCCAACATCAGGCTCCCAGCATGGAGCCCGCTTCTCTCTCTGCCTGTGTCTCTGCCTCTGTGTGTGTGTGTGTGTGTGTGTCTCATAAATAAATAAAATCTTAAAAACAAAAAACAAAAAAACAGAAGAATAAGAACCCAGTCATGCTCCTATGGAAGAAGGCGGCCATATTCTGGGGTTCTTTCCCAGGACGCCCATCTGGGCCCCTAAGGTTGCCTGCTTTGTGTGATGATAGGAGTGGGGGTGGGGTTACAGGCTTCTTTGGTTTTGGGCTCACTCTCCATGCTTGGAGTGGAGCCAGGGTTTGCTCTTACTTGGCTTCCTCTGAGCTCTGGGAAGGGTCTGTTGTATCATAGTTTCTTAACCCTTTTCCATCTTTTTTATTCTCTAAGAATCCAGAAGAGGGGAGAAAAGCCACTGCACATCAGAAGTCATGGCAGAGGTAAGTTGTATTTGGCACTCTCTTCTTGGAAGGAGCTTCCTGGTTTTCAAAACAATATCCTATTTCATGATTCTACCCAAAAGACATACAATAGTGATTTGGTAAGAGAGAAGGAAACCAGATTTATGGAGTTTTCCTAAACCAGACAGGAATCTAAACCAGGATTGTCTGCTTTGCATACAACATCTCATTAATCTAGAATTTCCATTTCCTTGGACTTCATTCATTCCTAGAATAGTTGTGACAGATGTGCCTCACTGATTTGGCAGGGGAAGATAAAGAACAGTATGGAGTTAGTTACTTCAGTCTCCCTCGTGTCTTTGTTGTTCGCTTCAGAGTCATGTGCCTATTTGCTTCCCCAAAACAATTTTTTTTTGCTTCCAAATTTCTTAACAGCCTGCAAGACCTGCCTGCCCTCTCAGCTCTACATACTTTTTCCTCCCCAAGATAGAAATAACCTAATTCCTCTCTTTCTAATGACTAAAGTAATATAGGATTCTTGCAATAAATTTAAAACTTGAGAAAGTTTAAGAAAGTTTCTCACCTATGGTCCCACCATCTAGAGATAGTCATGATTAATATTTTCAAATTGTGTTGTATATATATGTAGGTATGTACTTTTGTTTTCAGAATGGGATCCTGCTGCTGATAGAAGCAACTAATTTATTGTTTACTTTAAGCCACTTATAATTTGAAGTTCTTTACATGTGTTGTCTTGTTGAATCCACATTAACAACCCTGTGAAAAGGGTGTGACTGTATTTCTTCTTCTGTATGCATTTTTTTCCTTCATATTTTAACCTCTCTGAAATTTTATAGTTCCTGGTAAGTCATAGTTTCATTGATGGCATTTTTTTTCTTTCCTGGTGTATAAAGTAATCAATTTACAATCAGTGGTATCTCAGAATTGATGCAATATGGTATTATTCTAAGTTGACAGATGAGGAAATAGATTCTTTTAGGTCACTCAAATTCGAAAGATTCTGTTAGGTCACTTCAAAATCCTAGTACAACTGGGATCCCACTTGTCAAAGAGTGTTATCTTTTTTGGTTTATGTACAAGTTTGTATGTTAAGCTTATTCTCTGTCATTTGTAAGTTGTTTTACAGATATTTTTTCTGGGGCACCTGGGTGACTCAGTCGGTTAAGCATTTGCCTTTGGGCCAGGTCATGATCTCAGGATCCTGGAATTAGGGCCCCAGGTAGGACTCCCTGCTCAGTGGGGAGTCTGCTTCTCCCACTCTCTGTCCGTCCCCCCCCCCCCATACTCTCTCTCTCAAATAAATAAATTGCATCTTTTTTAAAAAAATTACTTTTCGGGCAGCCTGGGTGGCTCAGCAGTTTAGCGCCACCTTCAGCCCAGGGCCTGATCCTGGAGACCCTGGAGTCCCACGTCAAGCTCACTGCATAGAACCTGCTTCTCCCTCTGCCTCTGCCTCTGTCTCTGTCTCTCTCTCATGAATAAATAAATAAAATATTTTTTTAAAAAAATTACTTTTCCACAGCTAATCTATTTTGTACATGTTTTAGATTCAGAGTTTTCAAAAATGTTTTCTTCCTATATGTCATGGCCTTCCCTACTACAAATACAGAAGTCATTCAGGGGCACTTGGGTGGCTCAGTCAGTTAAGCATACGACTCTTGATTTCAGCTCAGGTCATCATGATTTCAGGGTTGTGGGGTTGAGCCCCATATCAGGCTCCATGCTCAGCACAGAGTCTGCTTGAGACTCTCTCTTTCTTTCCCCTCTCCCTGCTTGTATTCTCTAAATAAACAAATAAATATATAAAATCTTAACCAAAAAAAAAATGTCATACAAACTTTCCTAAAGTACTTTGTCTTTTGCTCAAACAATTTAATCTTTAAACATCTGGTGTGAGATATGACCAGCAAATGTTGGCTGTAAAATTCCTAACTTGGGGTGTTTAGATTTTTCTTTTCTGATACTTTGGAGTAGTCAGTTTTAAAGAATGGCATAATATTTGTAGTATGTTCAGAGTTTTTTCCTTGGATGTGTCTGAGTGTGGCTTTTCATTCTGGTTGGTTCTCAAGGGTTCCTCTCTCTCAAAAGACTAATAAAATTCTCTTTCCATTCTGGATTAATCTGTTTCTTCCTTTCTCTGAATTTTTTTTAATTCTGTGAGAACTTGTTGAGTCTGTCTCCACATTCCCAATCTGGCCAGAACCTTCCTGAGATTCTTAGAGGAGAAACTACACCCTAAATAAATAAAATCTTAAAAAAAGAATTCTTGGGTCATAGAATATATGCATCTTTGGCCTTACTAGACACTCCACAATTGTTTTCCAGTGTTTATAATCATTTTTAGGGATCCCTGGGTGGCGCAGCGGTTTGGCACCTGCCTTTGGCCCAGGGCGCGATCCTGGAGACCCGGAATTGAATCCCACGTCGGGCTCCCGGTGCATGGAGCCTGCTTCTCCCTCTGCCTGTGTCTCTGCCTCTCTCTCTCTCTCTGTAACTATCATAAACAAATAAAAAAAATTATAATCATTTTTAAACCCTGTTATTTCATATTCTCATCAGTACTTGATATTGTGAGACTTTTAAGCTTTTACCTATTTGATGGGTATGCATTGATATAGTATTCTGATTTTAAAATTGCATATTTTGGTATGCTAAATGAGGTTGAGGTCCTTTTCATGATTTCTGTTCTCTGAAGTACTATTTCATGTCATTTTCTAATTTTTCTATTGAGTTTTAGATTTCCAAGGTTTTTTTGTTGTTGTTTCTTTTAATGCTTTGTAAGTATTTCTTAAATATTACAGATTGTCATCCTTTGTCAGTTATGTGTGCTATACATGCTTTCTCTCAGTTTGTGGCTTGACTTCTAATGTTAAATGGTGGTAGAAATTCGGTTGCAATGCCATCACATTTAACAGTTTTCCTTTGCTTTACTAATTTATTTAGGTCTAGTTTAAGAAATATCTTCCTCTATGAGTAAAGGTACTCTCCCATGTTTTCTATGAATGATACTGTTTTGCTTTTTGTGTTTCAGTCTTTAACTCACTTTGGATTGATTTTAGGATATGATATATGGTAGAGGTCCAGTTTAACCTTTTCCATTTGGATAATTAATATCCCAATATCATTTTTCTCTAGTGTTCTGTTTCTCTTTCTCTGCACCAAAACCACATTGTCTTAATTAAGACAGCTTTATAATAATGTTTGATACTTGGTAAGTCATATTCCTCTACTGTAATCTTATTCTCTAGGAGTCTGTAAGCTATGTTTTGGCCTTTGGCTTCTCCATATAAATTTTAGAATTGGCTGATCAAGTTTGTAGAAATTCAGTTGGCATTACAATTTGTACTGCATTGACTCTGATCAGTTTGGGGAAGGTTGGCATTTTCTATAGTAGTAAGTCTTCCTCTCCCTCTAGCTGGTATTACTCTGTTTATTTAGGTCTTATATTATGGTTGTAATTAGAGTCGTATATGTCTTTTATTAATTTCATTTTTAAGTATTTTTATATTTTGTGTTTTTTAAATGGTATTAATTTTTAAACATTAAACATCATTTTCTTATTGTTCCTTGTGTACAGACATGAAACTGATTTTTAGATACTGATTTTATATCCATCCAACTTGCTGATTGCTCATTTATTCTGATATCTTTTTTTTTCTTAAAGATTTTATTTATTTATTCATAAGAGACCAGAGAGAGAGGCAGAGACATAGGCAGAGGGAGAAGCAGGCTCCTCAGAGGGAGCCCAATGCGGGACTCGATCCCAGAACCCTGGGATCACGCCCTGAGCCAAAGACAGACACTCAACCGCTAAGCCACTCAGGCATCCCTCATTTATTCTGATATCTTATAGATTCTTTTGGATTTGGAGTCATCTGACTACATAATCATATCATTGATAAGTGAGGATATTTTTTGTCTGTAAATAATTGTATTTTAAAATATTGATCTTTTCCTTTTTTAAGTTCCTTATTCTAAACCTTGCCTTACTGCACTGGTTTTCCTTGATAAGATGGAGAGAGGCTTCAAGTGCAATGTTACATTAATCATAAACTTCACTTCATGGAATGTTATCATTGGTCTGAGCAAGGCCATCTTCTTGTTCTGATTATTTATTCATTTCTTATCTTCCATTCCATTTGCCCACCCCCTGGCAATCCTGTTAATGTGCATCTTTATTGGCATGAGTTCGTGCAAAATGATTGTTTTATGTTAAGACCCAATGTGATGTTTTTCTGAATCCTCCAGATGTGGTTGAGAAGAGTGTTACTTGACTTAGCTGTATTATTCTATATGTGGCAATTAAATCAGGTTTGTTAATTTTGTTATTTTTTGTAATTTAAATAATTTCTGTTTTTACTGATTTATTTGTCTGTTGTGCCTATCAGTTTTTTTTTTATTTTTTTAATTTGTATTTATTTATGATAGTCACACACAGAGAGAGAGAGAGGCAGAGACACAGGCAGAGGGAGAAACAGGCTCCATGCACCGGGAGCCCGACGTGGGATTCGATCCCGGGTCTCCAGGATCGTGCCCTGGGCCAAAGGCAGGAGCCAAACCGCTGCGCCACCCAGGGATCCCGTTACTATCAGTTATTTCAAGTGATGTGTTCTGTCATAATGATGAGGATTTATCATAATTTTGTTCTTCTTTATTTTATGTATGTGTATGTGTGTCTATATATAATACATATTTATTTTTTATTAGGGAAGCATACACGTTGTATTTTCACATTTTACCTCCAGTCTTTCTGAATATTTATGTTTTGGATGTGTTTCTTGTAAACAGCATATATCTGGGCTTTGATCTTTGACTTTTATCTTTTAATGAGATCATTTAGCCCATTAATATTAATTGCTGATATAAGGGCATCTAGCTGGCTCAGTCAGTGGAGCATGTGACTCTTGATCACAGGATTATAAATTCAAGCCCTATGTTGGGTGTAGAGATTACTTAAAAATAAGATCTTTTTAAAAAAATTACTGATACAATTGAAAGTATCATTATTGGCTTAGTTT